CAGCCTCCCCACCATCACAGACATCTACACCTCTAGATGCAGGAAGAGGGCCACCTGCATCATGAAGGACCCCACTCACCCAGCACGCACACTTTTTGTCCCACTCTCCTCAGGCAGGAGGTTAAGGTGCATTAAAGTGTAGAACCACTAAACTAAGGAACAACTTCTACCCTGAGGATGTTAGACTCATGAATCTCTAACCAGGATACACTGTGGAAAAAAAAAATCACATCATGTTGCTGATTTATTTCACAATGCTGTGTTCATTCGTACTCATCTGCTCACACAGACTCATGTTCGTGCTGCTGTTCGGCGTATTGTTTTTGTACTACTAGTGTTTAGTGTATTTATGCTAACATTTTTCTTAGTTCATATCTTAGATCTTACTACTGTTTTTGTTTTACATTTTATACTTTTGTTGGATGTAACTGGGACCTTGTCTACACAATTCCATTCCACCATATGTGGTGCGCATGACAAATAAAGAAACTTTGACTTTGGTTGTTATGCATGCAGCAATGACAATAAAAAGCACAGTCCTGCCAGAATTCTTAACATGTACAGCAACGTTTCCACAATACAGCAAAAGGAATATTGCATGCAGTCATCAGACAGAAATGAATAGCCTATTAAGTTTGATGAAACGTCTGATGAGAAAGGCCATGAGCCTTCTTGTTATTAGTTGCCCCGGACACTGCAGGAGATATGATAATGACTGCTTCTGGGTGTGCTGGTGGAGATTGTTTAGTATTCAACCTTGTTGCCCACACGAACCACTTCCTTTCAGATAGCCTCTGGCTGCAGCCTATGGCAGAGAAGTCAGGCCACACTTCCACTGGCAATGCATCGCAAATTCTGATGAAGTAGAGGGGAAAAAAAGCTTTTATTTACAGTAAGCTGAGCTTGAATGCATGCAGTTGTTTTTTAGACTAACAGGTTGAACGAATAATCCCTGTATAAATGACATTTGTGTATGAAACCTCCCAAAATGCTGCTTATAGCAAATTAAACAGAAGTGGTTACTGCAAACAAACAACATTATATAACAAGTCTGGCTCTTGTGCAAAGGACATCTGATGGAAATTGTAGCCCATCGCTTGGTTGCAGAGTGACTCACTGAATCTGGCACATTTCAAGCATGGACAGGCACCCAGAGCTTCCTAAAAAAATGAGCCAGTTTAACGGACAAGTCAACATACAAGTGGCATAAAATGTTAAGAAACTGGTGGCTGTGAAACTAAATTAAGTTGAGTATAGGAATAAATACCTTTCATGCAAGTAAAATAAGAAAAACAGGAAGGTTTGTTTATGCAATTGTCATTTTGCTTATTATTTCTGCATTTTGCATGTGCACAGATAAGGTACTGCATGTTCCCTGGTGTCTGAGGTGTCTGTGTCTCAGCTTGGCTTAAGGCATTCAGAGTGACTTCCATCCCCAGGAGGGGAAATGTCTCAGCAGGCTATGCTAGCTCACCTACCACCCCGGTACTATAACAGGGTTTGACATTAGCCCTGGCAGTTACACCATCACATCACAAAATCTAAAACGACAAGCACAGTGGGCCCAAATACTCGGTCAGTGCAGTCATTATTAGGAAACGACAATGTTAGGGGCTATCATAGATTATAATTTTAACTGGTATTGTTTGTTTTATACAGAAATTAGAATCATGGCATTCATTGGAGGAAAACTTTCATGCCCGAGTTTTAACATACGATCATCTCATGATGAGAGATGACAGAATTGTAACTGTTTTTGTTAAAACTTGTAAAGGATGTTACACAATAACCTCTTGCAATATTGCATGATCTGTTAGCACTTTGAATATGCTTTGTGGATGTCGTTTAGCGTCTGCCACAGCAGGTTTTACCTCATTATCCATAAAACTGACCGAGTTAGCATCGTTTTTATGTTGTCTAACACGGATTAAGCGTGATGGCCAACATAAAGTAAGGTGACTTCAAAAGTTAATTAGTTGCAGATATACTTTCTACAAGTTTTAAAATCTGTCTACTGGTTCATGAAACATTTTGCTAATGGTACAGACAAAAGAACACACAGATACTGGAAAGAACACCACTGTTTTCCACAATTTTTCAGATGTTGGAGTCATTAGTCCTCCTAAAACACATGTTGAACAACTGGGAGATAAAGTTAAAGAGGCCAGACTGAGATGGTTTGGACATGTCCAGAGGAGGGACAGTGGGTATATTGGTAGAAGGATGTTAGAAATGCAGCTGCCAGGGAAAAGACAAAGAAGAAATGTATGGATGCAGTTAGAGAGGACATGGTGGTACAGTAGTTGAAGTGAGGACAGAGGATGACAGACTGAGATGGAGGATGACTCACTGTGGTGACCCATGAAGAGGAAAAAGCCGAAAGAAGAAGATGAAGTCCTCTTAAAGAAAATTTGCTTTGAGAGCAATACAGCATGCATCAATAAGGCACAAACAAAACAGCTTTACTTGCCCCCCCATAGATTTATTTTAATTAACTATTTAAAATTGAACTGGCAGAGTTTCACTGAATACTTCAGAGGCGCTCGGAGTTGTATGTAACATCCATTCAGAAGAAACTTTTCCATAGCAGTCATGTTCTACCATCTGATGTGTTACAAGGAAGTGTCTTGTCCAAAGCCATTTTCTTTACTTTGTTTTAGGAACTGCTTTATTGTTGCAACTAATCAGTAAATTACGCCAATGAAAGAGAACAGAAAGTGACAGCTGAAAAGTGTTGAGCAATAACATCGAAGGTGTTTAGACGCCAATTCCTTGAGGAGATGATAGTCGGTTAGCAGGAAAAATAAATATTGACGTTAGAAGTGCTTTATCAGCATCACATTAGCCACTGTTGGTTTGTTCCACTTCGCAGGAGACTCAGTACAGTTGCATCACAAGTTCATAAAACTACCTGAAGTGCAGGAGGTCAGACCAGAACGTGCAGAACCGATGCAGTTCAGGGAGTGGACATTGATCATTTGTGTAATTATGGGAGTGTGGGTCAAGCACATATACATTCATTCATCCATCTATCCTTTTTATTTACCCACTCCTTCCTTTTTGGGTCACAGGGGAGCTGGTGCTTATCTCCACCGGTCATGGTGTGAGAGATGTGCACCCTGGACACAGCACCAGAAGAACTGTTAGAAATAAAATAAATCTGAAAGGGCTGGTGCATAAACATTACATGGTTGAAAAAATGTGGACATGACTTCAAGGTGGGCAAAACAAGTTGGAGTTTGAGGAAAAGGTTAATGGAAAATCCCATGAACCATAGGAACAACTTTAGTTTCCAAATACACTGTAGTCTCCATTTCCACCACTAGAGTGCAGTAGAGTTCAGACATCAGATGAAAGGATGTTTACCCAACTATAGGATGGAAAAGTACACATATGCATTGTGTTTGCACGTGCTGCACACTGATAAACAATTAGGTCACAGGGACAGAATGTTTTTGTCTGTGAAGTGGAGCCCAAGTCTGCACTTTGTAGGCCAACAATATATATTAAGATGGTAAATGTCAGTTTAATAAAACTTTTTTTTAATTTCTCTTGATGAATTAGATGATTCTCTTGAAAAACAAACGCGGCTAAAACTAACGGTGCACGTTATCACATCGAGTTCCCCCCTCTCTAACAGGAGCGTCTTGTTTACACTTGATGACCCAAGTTCATTTCGTTTTGTTACAGATCCATGCTGCGTTCAAGTGCTCCGTAAAAAAAAAGTTGAATTCGAAGCAAGGTTTTTGTTTGTCAATAAGATCATGAAACCTCAAGTGTGCTGCATTATGTGGCCGTTGTGATGGCGTTTTAAAGCGTGATTTGCTGATGTTGTACTGCATTGTCCGATTAAACTGCAACACGTGCTCCATAAAAAAAATGACCGACGAAGCAGAATTTATTGCTAAATGTAAACAAAGTAGCCAAAGTTTATGTGCAGTTCATACTTCTGTGAGCTATGATAGTCATAGATCACAAACGTTTACAACATTGTCAAGTTTGTTTACATATTGAGCTTTGAGCATCCATTAAAGTAAAATACTTAAACATATTTGAATGCAGACAGCGTCATGAATTAGTCACGTGATTGACAGTTCGGGACACAGCGTACTTTGCTGTGTAAAAGTTGAGGAAGGGGTGTATGTTTCTCTATCTGAAACCGTTGTTCATTAATAGCTTTTTTTTTACTAAGAGCACTGGAAGGCACCCGGAGTTCTCTCTCTTAACTCCGCCCCTTGCCCGATTGTTTGACTAATGACATGCGCGCTCATGTGACGTCAGCAGCCAGTCTTACAAATACAGCCGGGTTGCAGAAAATAGCATCAGACAGTCGCTTGATAAACTCGGCGAAGCTTAGCTCTAATTGACACAGCACTGCGCTCAGGCGTGACAAGAAACGAAGTCAGTGCATCGCTACTACTACAAGTAGGAACAAACTCAACCTGGACCTTCACTTCGGTGACCAATCAGTCGCAAAGGTGGCGAGAAATATAATCCGAACGAGTGTGGTACTCAACATGAGCACGGAGATGTTCGCTAAAACACGGATGGAGGTAGCCGTCTACCAGCTGCACAACTTCTCCATCTCGTTCTTCTCCTCGCTGCTCGGAGGAGACGTGGTGTCGGTCAAACTTGACAACAGGTAATTTGACGTTGCACTCAATCGGTAATAATGGCGGTCCTGACTGTTTACAGCGTTTCAAGTTCCGTTGCCTCGCGCGTCTCTATGCTAATCGTGCTAACTGCTCGGCTCCCTGCAGCTGGTGTTTATTTGGACTTTGGACGCAACCTGCGCTGCTTTTCTGCAACAATAATACTATACATTCTTAAATACACTACAATCAAAATAAACCCAGTTTCACACACTAACTACATTTAGTTGATAGATTACTATATTTCTGTTTCACTGAGGGCAGCTGGTTTAAAAAGCACCAGGGTTGCCAGTTGTGGTTATGACCTGTTAATTTACGACTTTTTCCCTTCTTTTTTTTTTTTTGCAGTGCCTCTGGTGCTAGCGTGGTGGCCATTGACAACAAGATTGAACAAGCAATGGTAAGTTGAGACAAAAACACCTGGAAAGCTGCACAGAATAAGACTCGTGCATCCCAGTGTACTGATTTAGCTTTAGATTTATGTTTTAATCTGCGCTTGACCATACCATGCAGCAGCTCATTGATATTTATATTGGAACTGTATTTTGTCTCAAGCACCAAACTTATTGACTGGAGTTTGCGCTAAAACCGTGCAACTTCCAAAACAAATTATTTCCAAACGAATGAACACAGTGGGGAAATCCCAGCTGGAAAGAGTGGCACAGATTGCTGCATGTTTTATTCACACACAAGTGGAAAGCAACTGCAAGAGACTAGAACAATAATTACTGCAACATTATGAATCTAGCTATTGTAACTGTGTTGTAAGACTGTGCATAAATAGTGAGGATGTTGTGTGCTCATTTTAAACTCGATCAATCTTTCCCTTGTTCTCAACAGGATCTTGTCAAGAACCACCTGATGTATGCGGTGCGTGAGGAGGTGGAGATCCTCAAAGAGCAGATCAAAGAACTGGCAGAGAAGAACAACCAGCTCGAGAGGGAGAACTACCTGCTCAAGAATCTGGCCAGTCCAGAGCAGATGGAGAAGTTCCAGTCCCGCATCCCGACAGATGTGCTGTCACCTCTGGACAATCAAAATATCTCAGAGCAGCAGCAGACCTGTAACCACAACACTGGATCTGCTGTATAAGTGGCTCTGCCTTGGGGCGGGCAGAGCCACGGTCTCTCTCCAGTAATGGACCTCGATTTTGAACGTATGCGTTATTGAATCTCCGCCACCGGGACCCCCTTCGACAATGAAGGAGAAGCGTCGGGGCTGTAAACGATCGATGGGACACAAATGAACTGTTGTCGCTGATCAGCACAAACCAGAACTAGAGACACTCTGACTGGTGCCACATCAGGCCCATCATGTGATAGCTCTTTGTCATAGTCTCTCCTCGTAGGAACAGGTGTTAAGAATAGAGATGACAGGTTAGACCCAGATGACTGCTTGCTTTCAGACAGGAAGTGGGGTTTCCCCCACCCTGGACAAGAAAAACACTTCCAACAAACACCCTCCATCCTATAAAGGTGGGGGGTGAGGAGGTGTTGATTGGGCTCGCCCTGCAGACCTGGAAACGGAGGATTTTTTCTCCCTCGCGATCCAGAGGAGATCCTTCTGAGTCGGTACTCCCGAGTCTCAATGAGAACAGCCCCCCCCCCCCCTCACATGTTCCATCTCAAAACACAAGTTTCAAGGACTGAGCCACACATTTCTGACTCAAACTTTTCCTGTACCTACACTGTCACTGTGTTTTGAAGTCTAACAAGAGAAATGAACAGGATGAGCAACGGAGGCAGACGTCGATGCAGTCGGAGTAATTAAGCTGCAGTGGACCGATTCTACTGTAACGATTCACTAAAGTGTAGTCTTGTTTGCCGTTGAGGGGGGGCTTGCTGCGTATGGGGGACGCCAATTCTGTTTTTGTGTATAATCCTGAACAAATGGTTTGTACAGTAGGAGCAGTGGGCTTTTGGATAAAGTGCTTTTGTAACCTGCAGGACCATGCTGCTCACCTGACTCAGAAAACCTACAGTATCATAGAGTTGAAACATCTCGAGGTAGACGCCTGCATTTCAAGCTGCAGGTGCACTTTGAGTTTTAGCAGTGTCATCCACGATCTGATCTTTTTCCCTTTCTCTGATCAGACGGACACTTGAAAAACGATGGCATGACGACAGTGCCTGTAAGTAGGATCACATTTCTACAATGACTGTGGTTGGTGATGCTTTGTATTTTTAGCTCCCACACATTTTTTTTTTTTCCTTTTCTTACACAACAGCAGTCGCTGAGTGAACCAGGACCATGTGCAAAACTGCACAGGGAGAAATCTTGCTTGTAGCTAGTGCTAAACGTTGTTTTGTAACGATATCGGTGTTGTTGCTGTAAAGTATCCTCCAAATTGTTGTACACTATGGTGTTTTTGGATACAACTGCACATTTGCAATAAACCTTGTTTACATGGCACATTACTTTGACTTTTGTTCATTTATTGCTGTGATGTCACGATAATATATTGACATGTGACATTCATCCAGCGTTAATCCACATTAGGCTTATAAACTTCCACATATGGAGTTTTTTTATTACATCTTTTAGTGGCTTAATGTTACAAAGCAGTGCTTTACATCAGACGTGTTTTACTTACTGTTGCTTTAGGGGATGTTTCATGATTTTAAATCTCATTGAAGAAGTGGAAAACTTCTAAACTTTTAATTTTGAATAGTTGCCTTTCAAGTTTGAACGTTCTGATCAATTCTGTGCGATTTAAATGTTCTGTTTGGCAACGTGTGATGCGCCATTAGCCACAGAGGCTCTGCTGCTTAGAAATAATGCAAAATGTAGATGTCTTCTCAGACTTGGTTAAGGCTAATTTTGTGTCCTTACATTGAGTATTAAGCTAACCCCCCCTAAACTCAAATGTCAAAAACAGCCCAGCCACTAATGATAGTGAAGTAATAACTGGGTTGCCATGCGAACTGGAATCTGCAAGAAGGAAAGACACTTTGTACTAGAAACTTTTTTTTCCTTCAGACGATCTGGCAGACTGCGTGTTACCAGATATGTTGTGGCTTCCCTGCGTGTGCAGACTGGGCTCATATCCATCTGCTGCTGAAAACAAGGCCGGTGAGCTCGGGCCAGTAGTCGTCATTACACATCTAAGCCTGTGGTCCCTTCAAGATTACAATAACAGAAGCCATGCTGGACTGGCACCTGGAAGAAATTCGGAGTGGCGCGATGGAAGTACAGGTTGACTGAAATGCACATTTGTTGCAGCAAAGAGAAAACGTTTATTTGGCTCTTTGGAACAAGATAATAGTTTGTCTCTGCAGGTATATGAACAGCTTTTGCGATACAAACTATTTCTAAGCCCCTTTCATGCAGATGTGCTTTCCAAAAAGAGTAAAGAAGGTTAAAAGTGGAGCTGCAGCTGTAACAAGTCCATCAGGCTTTAGAGCTCACACGTCAGTCTCAGAAAAATGCTGCAGACAATCAGGACTTTGGCTTCATTTACGACTTTGTTTGCTCCGTCGTTCTATTTTAGGACGAGTTTTGAAACAAAGAGGCTCTTTAGCGGCTTTTTCTTTGAAACTACCTGATGATAAGTTTCCAGGCACGGCTCTTAAGTTATATTATTCTAGAAAACGTCTCTTCACTTGGGATGTGTTCTCGGTTTACCAGCGTTATATAGTTTCTCTGAAAGTCATATTAAGTGGGATTAGACGTAACGCAGGTAAACGTCAAATTACAGGGAAATGAAAACGCAGTTTTAACTTTAGCAACTTTAATGTTCAAAATAAAACAGCCCTTTTAAGTTAAAATAAAGAGGCACTGATGTCACCCTGGAAAACTACAGTACTACTGTAAAACTACTGTACTGTGAAAGACTTTGTTTACTTGGCTCTTGGTGGAAATTTTTCTTGAAGTGGCTGAAAACAGAAAATCTGAGGCAAAGTGTTACAAATTCTGCATCACTTCCTTCAGAGTCTAGTTAAAAATTAAAAACCTGTGGATTTAAACTTTAGACTTTTGAAACCAGAAGCCAAAAATGGACTTTTTCTTTGGATTAGCGGAGTTATGCAACACATGCTCGCTCACACACCAAAACAGAACATCTGTTTTGGATGAATAATCAGGGGTTGGTGTTGGGAGAAGCACTCGTTGCTCTCTGTGCGGTTGGGTTTGCATGCTTGGATATAATTTGGACTTAATGTTTTCCCTGCAGACATATACAACGTGCGTGTCTTCAGCTCATCGGTATATTCAGCGTGTCGAATTGGAACAAATGTTAGAAATAATCCCACTGTTACACAATAAAATGCGCACAGCACTTTTTGGAAAAACTGAAGGAGCTGTGTTGGTTTTTCCAGACGAAGAACTTCAAAACTAGTCAAGTCAGTCATGTAATATGAAATGTACTGCTCCTCCACATGCACAACTATTTTATCTAGATGGAGTTAACAACAATGCTCACAAATAAAGCAGGGCTTTCTTCATTATGGGTTCAACAGGTCATAAAATGTATGGAAAACTATAAAGAAAATATTTCCAGTGTTTACTTCCAAATTTCTCAAACGTAAGGGATTATTCACACAAATCATCATCTTTTTTTTTTTTTTCTTGCTGTCTGGTCATGAGTGCTTGTCAGCAACGTGTCACTCAGCAGTGGAGACAATTCATACCACAGTTTTAATCTAGATGAACAAAATACACAGACGAAGGCAGGTTGTCTGTCAACAGACAAAATCAGCGTATCAGCCTGGATTGCCTTAAATTAGAAATAATTAAATTAACACTCCATGGTGTTCATGTTGGAACCATATTTGTTATCATAACCTATTTAAATGTCACAAGTGATGCATATTTGAGATGTGCTTGTGTCTTTTAATCAGAGGGTGCTAATCAGTTTTGCTTCCAGAAGCAGAGTATTCATAATTGTTGGGAAGATTACTGAACAGACGTGACCAGACAAAGGCTCAAGGGCACAAAAGTTCAAAAGAGTCCTAGTTTTATTTAAATATGCATAACATTGACATATATATGTGGAGTACTTATTAGAGGTTTGGTTTAGATAAGACAAGGCACCAAAAAGAGACACAGTCATCAAATGTGGGCACAAGAAGACACAGTGGCAGTTTCCACCTTAAATGTCTCACTGAAACCTCCTGTTTGGGTTCTCAGAATGTCACGTGTTTATATCCCAGATGATCAAACACTAAAAGGTCAGAACATCATATTCATCTAGAGTATGTAGAGAAAAGGTAATCAGTTGTTGGCTTCGGATTCTCTGCAGTACACAACCATAGCTTCACAAGACTTCACACGTAACTGAAAAGGCCACCAAGCATAACAAGAATGATATAAAATGTGGAAAACATTGAAAAATGTACATGAAATTTCATATAAAACACTACAGTTAACTTTTCTGTCATCAAGCTACAACAAGCAGGTAAAAACTTTAATTATTTGGCCAACTGTGTTGTATAAAATATTGCTAAAACAATTTACAGTACAGGAACTGTGAGTTTGTAAAGGTCTGAGCTCATGAACACAGTGTTACTATTCTCTGTTAAACATTGCTCACCCACTGCTCCTGCTTGTTCTGGTCCATTTAATGTGAGGAGTGGGCTGCAGGAAGTTCAAGATGTAAACCGTGCAAGAATTCCACTAAATGTTAAAGAATGAAATGTATTCTAAAAGCTGAGGAAGTGATTTATATAAAAAAAAAAAAAAACAGAATTGTTGAAAATGTTCATGTGACACATGATAGATGTGTTACTTGAAGATGGTGTTGGTTCTTGGGAAATATAAAGTACAGGTGTAAAGGGATAGTGCAGACCTTTTGAAATTCAAGTTCTGTGATTATCTTAAAATGTTTGCACGACTGTCAGCTTAGCATTTTACAGTTCTTCAAGAAGGAATAGTTTGACATTCTTGCTGGAATTGTCCCAGGCAGGACCAGATGTGCTACAGCTAGCTGCTACTGCAAATGACCATAGGATTCTTTTAAATCGACTGTGTAATCCAAAACTTACACCACTGTACAGGCTCATAAAATAGCATATGCCTCAACTACTTCCAGGGTTATGTTTTGCTGTTAACTTGTGAATCCAGTCTGAATGAAACTAAACTGAAATTGTTCAAAGAGGCCATCTACAACAGGTAAGATGTTAATTGCTATGATGACAATTCCACAGAAACTACAGGTAAATCAAAAGATCAGAATTGTTACGATAGGAAAGATAGCTACTCACATGAGCCATTGTAGATTTAATTTTAATTGACATACCGGTAATTTGTTGTGGGCTTTAATTGGTTCTAATAAACACACTAAAAATGGATTTGATGAGAACGTTTGAAAGTGAAAGATGTTTTGCTTTGCATGAAGTCAACAGGATAAGTTTAATGAATAAAAAACAGTTGCTAATTTTCTCTTTCGTAGATTAGCCTCAAGAAGCTTTACACATCAAACAAAAAAAAAAAAAAAAAAAAAAAAAACTTTCTGTCAACTGTTGCACACAGCGGTCTTTATTTGAGAGATTCAGTACAGCATTAAAATCTTGCAGCCAAACAGACCACGATAGAAATGTCACGAAGAACGAATGCACTCACAGGATATCAGCTGTGAGCCAGTTCAATGAGACTCTTCTGACATTTCAACTTCTAAAGCTCAGAAGCGACTGATGATGGCTTGATTTCATAAACTGCCAGGCGTGTGTAACGTTTTTGGGGTTGGATACATAACTGCAATTAAGTGCTTAGTGATGGCTTAATCCGAGTTTGACGCTATACGTCAAGCATCTCCTGTGGGAAAATGACACGTGTTTAAAGATGTTATAACAGCAGCCTTGTGCAGACTTGCTTTTTATAGGATTCTAAATTTGCTCCGCTCTGAGTGGCTGCACGTTGGAGAAGCTCCATCACTTTCATTCTGAGATTTTGCTTTTTTTTGGACATTGGATGATCGTTTCCTCTGGTATCGGATGCTGTGCAGCTGGACAGATTTTTACTGAAACGTTTTACTTTTAGACATTTTGTTATGATGCATAACCATAATAACAAGGTGGGGTATTTTTTACAACCAGGAGCTGCTGATTAACATCTCAAAACCTCAAAAAATTTCTCAACCCCAAATCTCAAATGAGTTGGAAAAAGAGGCTCCGTGGATGCATTTCTGTCTACCTGCCGGCTGTGCTTGAGTGCCTGACCACTGAGATCCTAAGATCTCCTAAGGAGAACCTGGAACTGGCAAGGAATGTGGCTAGTGACAGCAGAAGGACCAAAATCGTCCCCTGGCACCTGCAGCCCGCTGTCCAAAGCAACGAGGAGCTCGACAGGCTGCTGGAAGGAGTGGCCATCGCTCTAAGATGAGTTCTGCCTGGCATTAGCGTGGTCCTGCAGCCCGGGGAACCAAGAGGCCAGCTGAGTCTGGGTTGATGGATCGGACGGCATCTGTGGCCAGTTTCTTTGG